CGCTCGTATAGCACGTAGAGAAAAAATAAAAACATTTTCATTATGTGTCCCGAGTGGTTGCAATCGATTGAGCACACTTACAACTTGATCGGTTCAATTCTTATTGAGATCCAATAATCTCGATCTGACACAATTCGCTGGCTTGCGTGAAGTAGTCATGGCAGTGTCGCTGCACATAACTTAGCGCCGAGACACTACTGATGTCTTCAGACAATTTTTAACTTTGCCACACTAAAAATATTTTCGCTTAGTCACTTATTGTATTTCGTCTTATGATGATCATGTTTTGATAGTACTTAATTTATTTTATATATTTTTAATTCGCTCTGGACTCTATTATTTGATTTATATTATATTTTTTAAAGAATGAGAGAATATTAAGTGTACAACTTTGCTTCTGCCGTTTTCCTATAGATGTAAGTTTTAGCGGTAAGTGGTGGTCGAAATAAATAGATCATAGACGTCATACAATAAACTTGGGCATCTGTCAACATAACCCCATAGAAATATTAGTCGATTTGTGTCCGCATCATAAAGTTATTTTCGATTGAAAAGGTCAGTTTACGAGCCAAATTCTCGTTTGCGGGAGGTTTTAATTTTCTGCTTCAATATGAAAAAATCTGCGGCTCATCGAATGCTCTCAAATACTTATGGTGAGGCCGCTATTAGTGAAAGAACGTGTCGTGAATGGTTTCAACGCTCCAAGAATGGTGATTTTGACCGGCATAGCGGTGGAAGAGAGAAGGTTTTCGAAGATGCAGAATTAGAGGCATTACTTGATCAAGACTTTTGTCAAAATCAAAAAGAATTGGCACGATCATTGGGAGTGACTCAACCAGCCATTTAGCCATTTCAAAACGCCTCAAAGTCATGGGAATGATTCAGAAACAAGGAAATTGGATGCCGTACGAGTTGAAGCCGAGAGATGTTGAACGGCGTTTGTTTGCTTGTGAACAGCTGCTTGAAAGGCAAAGACGGAAGGGTTTTCTGCATCGCATTGTGACTGGGGACGAAAAATGAAGTTCATTACGGTAATCCCAAGCGCAGAAAATCATGAGGAGTTCCCGGCCATGCTTCCACGGCCAAACCGAATATTGACGGCTCCAAGATCATGCTCTGTATTTGGTGGGACCAGCTCGGCGTAGTGTATTATGAGTTGTTAAAACCGACTGAAACAATCACAGGCGATCAGTATCGCAATTGATGCGTTTGAGCCGATTATTGAAAGACAAACGACCGCAATACAAGAGAGACATGATAAAGTGAGTTTGCAGCATGACAATGCTTGACCCCATGTTGCGAAAGTGGTCAAGACATACTTGGAAACGTTGAAATGGGAAATCCTACCTCACCCGCCGTATTCTCCAGACGTTGCTCCCTCTGACTATCACTTGTTTCGATCAATGGCACACGGCCTGGCTGACCAGCATTTCCGGTCTTATGAAGAAGTAAAAAATTGGATCGATTCGTGGATCATCTCAAAAGATGACCAGTTTTTTCGACGCGGGATTCGTACGCTGCCCGAAAGATGGGAGAAAGTAGTGGCCAGCGATGGACAATATTTTGAATCATAAATGTATAACCAGTTTTTTACAATAAAGCCTCGAATGTCGGAAAAAAACGGCGGAAGCAAAGTTGTATTACCTAATAATTTTTTGTCTGTATTTATCGAACTACTTTCTTGACTCTGTTTGCGAATTGCGTAAGTCTACATGATTGTATGTTGATGTGTGTGAGTTAACTTATTTTTATTAATATTTTTACTACACATACACGCGCGCGCGTGTGTATGTATATGAGTAAATTGGAAACGTATGAATAAATTGGAAACGTTGTTAAATTGGAAAGGTGTGTGTGTGTGTGTGTGTGTGTGTGTGTGTGTGTGTGTGTGTGTGTGTGTGTGTGTGTGTATGTATAAATTATAAAATGCAATATTTTTTAAAAATTATGCACACTATTGCAATTCGACATTATAAAAACATCAATTTTATCGGTTTTTTTTATCCCATTATAAATATTAAAAAAAATATGAACATAACAACTTCTTATGTAAAAAATTCTCTATTTTTCAATAAAAATAGTCTCGATTGATTTAAATTTCATGAAAGCAATGAAAATCATAAATTTTAGAAAAAAAATCCGTTTTTCTTCATGATTCTAGGCATTTATACTGAAATAAATATGTTTTTTAGAAAGCTGACAATTTTTTATATAAGAAATTGCTTCATAGCAGATCAATTTGAGGAAAAATGGAATTTTCCTCATTGTGTAAGTGCTATCGACAAACAGCATATAGTAATACAAGTAAAATCTTATTATCAATCTTATTATTAACATTATATTTTAATCGATGACAATAATTATTTATAATTGTTTTTGTCCTATAATAACGCAGGTTTTCCATACTATAATTATAAGAATTCTCACAACTTCTAGCAATGTGTGATGCATACGTATTTATTTTTGTGGACATTGGAGTATATGGTCGACGTAGTGATGGTGGCATATTTCAATCTTCTTTAATGGGGCAAACATTTCATAATAAGAAAATAAATTTGCCAAAATCTATATCAGCTGACGAAGAACTTCTAACATACGTGCTTGTGGGAGACGAAGCTTTTCCACTATCAGAATATTTACTTCGACTATACCCTGGAAGAAGAGGTTTAAATTAAGAACGAAAAGTCTTTAACTATCGGCTAAGTAGACCAAGAGAAATGTACTTTAGAGACTGTATGTAGCCAATGGCGGTTAAAGCGTCCGATTGATACATGTATGAAAATTGTTCAAGCCATTATTAGTTTACACAAATTAAAAATATCGCCTACATATATTGGATAAATATATACTATCTAGTATAACTGATTAACATAATTTATACGATTTTATACTTGATACTTGGGGATTAGATGGTGCTTTGCCAAATATAAATCATTGGTCTAATTTAGATTCACATAAAACTGGAAATACGAGATACATTTTGTTATTACTTTAACAGCGACGAAGGAGCAGTTTCCTGGCAATTTAAACACTATTAAGATATTAGGAATAAAACAAGTATTAATGTGCACTTTTTATTTGTAATTTTTATTTGTATTTTTTATAACAATATACAATATATGATTTAACACTTTTCAACAGATCAATAAAAACAATAATCTTGATTCAATAAAAACAATAATCTTTGGTTTCAATTGTAGTTTTCTTTCAGCATATTGTAAGACAATTGTTTTTGAAATGCTTCTTGTTTTTGTGCTTCGGATAAACGACGAATTCGAGGATCCCAGCAAATTTAAGAATGAGTTAATATCGTCAGGCTGAGGTTGTGGCAATAAAACAAAGTCATCATTGATAGAAACATCACAAAAAGCATCAGTAATTCTCTTAATGACATTTTTTTATATAAGATTCTCGAATTTTTTTGCTATACAATATACAATAATAAGGGATATACATATATATATATATATATTTATGTATTACACACATGCGTAAGTCATTATAAATGACTTACCGTATATATTAGACAAATATAAATTTTTATGTTAAAATATTATATATCTGTCCGAACATTTCTATCTTTTGCCGACTGGTCCTATTCTTCAAGTACTCTTTCATTTCTGAAAATATTTGATAACGTTCTGAAATATGTTTATAAATAATTAAATTTATATGTATAATCTATTATGAAGACATTTGTGAAATCTTTTTTTAATTTCTAATTATAATTTTAAGAATAAATAGTATATAT